CAACCTCTACTCCTACTTTCACCTCAGGCATATTTTTTTCAGGTCTCTAAGTCATCTCGGAGCCGAATTATGAGGTCTTGTAAATGGCGTTATGAGTCACGAATTTCTGAGGCAGACCCCGCCCACTTTGGCCCTCGCGATGTTAGGTAGCCCATACAATGGCGCATTCAACGCCCTAACTCCCAGCTACCTTCAAATACTTTAATGGCCGACATTTGTTCCCGTCCTGCCGTCGCCGCGAACGCTTCTCCAGGTAATGCCGAGTGCATTGCCTGAGTGTCAGCCATAGGTCGGGGCACACAACCGTCCGCCCTCTACCCTAACTCACCGGGTGTGCCCGACGCCTCGAGTCTCGTTCATGCATATCTTCATACGACCTGAGCTACTCCATTACTTGTCACTCTAGGCATGGTATTTTTTTCAGGTTCTCGCAATGTCAATCCTTCGAAAGCCGATTCATGAAACCTGGTCCCTTGTGAAGACTTGGCTGCCATCGGTCTATGAGTCCCACGAAGTTTCTGTTCAGGCCAGATCTGCCGCTCTCCCCACTTTGCGTGCATGGTTAGCCCAACAATGGCATTCAACCGTACTCTCCCATCTACCTACGTCACTCACAACTCTCGTGTTCATGGACCCCACATTTTCCCCAGGCTCATGTTCGCGGAACCACTTCTAGGAACGAGTTTATCTCTAGAGTGTGCAGGCTGTTAAAGAAGCCAGCGCGCTCATGAGCCTGTCACAGTACTCTCATGGGCGCATTCCTGAGAGACTGCTGCCAACTCGGACCCACATCTGTGCGACACTTTCAATCCCATTCTCTTTACTCTTTTCTCTTACTGGCTTGACATACCAATACTCTGGCGTTATTTTTTCACTGAATATAGTTGTTTCTGGTGAACGTATTTTAGTCTATTTGCTCGGTAGCATCCCTCTAACATTCATAAGTGCTGAACTCACCGCGAATGGGCACGAAATGCGTGGCAGACTACGCTCATTCTTGTGTGGCATAGAATACTCTCCCCTCGGACCACTACTTGCGTGTGCGGGGATTGGTTGGTACAAAATGCCCACTCACTCCTATATGGCTGATAATCACATGTCATAGACTATATTCTCGAGTCCCTCTTCTATGAATGTCGTGTGCAGAAGGCCTATCCTTCTTACGTACTTTGTCATATCCTCTATGTCTGGAATACTTTCCCTACGCGCCGACCCTCCGATGTTTTGTGCCGAAAGACCTTAGACCTCTGAAAATCTTCTTCCTCCGCGCACCATCTTAGTGCGACTCTTTTGATGCTCTGTCCCTTGTGAAAAATCGACCAATCTTAGATTTCCTCGTGAGCGCAAGAGTCGCGCATAATTCTCGCAAAGCTACAGCGACTCTCGTATATCTCTCTTTTGTATCGCATTAGAAAAATTGTTAATGAATACGAAATAATTCATTATTTCTGTAACCGATGCGAGTAAATCTCTTGTACTCCACTGAGACTTCCCAGTAGCGTCACCGCTTCTTCTGGTTCTGTCTATTCAGGAAAATAAACCGGAGATCAGTCGCCAGCCTCTTTTACATCATGACATGCGCAAACGCCCCAGGTTTGAATGGGACGTCTTTCATGCCTCAAGAACAGAAGTGGGCCTCGCTCATGTCGCCCACTAGGACGAGACTTCAAAACTAATGTGATATCTATATGTACATAACGCTATACGCACGCGTGTGCTTTTTTGTGGTTGACACTATCCTAAGTTAAACCCAGTGGCAGAAAGGAAGGCGCCAGTAGAACAGAATAGCCGCCTCCCTAAAAAGTCCCTCCCGCTTTCGTTCAGAGCCCTAATTACAAGTTCGGATGGAGGGTCTCATCTACTTCAATATCTTACCGGCTAGAGCGACGATGATGCCGTCGTCCAGAGAGTTGTAGCCCTGTTGGGAAGCTGACCACCATATCCAGTTGGCCAACGCAAGCATTGCTAGATGATTCTCGGCTTAACTGAAGCCGTTCCTAAGCCAAACTAGGCCAATTGTATATGGGCGTCAACATTGCTGTTCTGTCCCGCTAGATGGAGTGTGGCGCTCCGGGCCACGATGCGCACAACAGCTTTAAACCGTTGAACCTCTATAGCTAGGATAAGCGCCGTACGCATTAAGGCGCCGCACCTCACTCGTAGCACTTTTTGTGCCCACTAGATCTTCATTAAAGATTATTTTCCACAAGATGAGCACAGAGATTGGAGCTTCATTTCCAAGTTTAGCATGACCCTTACCTGCCATTTTGAGACGCGTTGCTCTATCTCCACCAATGGCCTTCAATTGTGAGCTTCTTCTCGGGAGCAGCGTTTATGCCTCAAAAACACGGATCCGCCTCAGCAGACTGAGGCTCCCGCCCATCCTCAAAATCCGCATACATTGTTGAGCAGCCTTGGATAACCACCAGAATCGCTAGTTTACAGTACCCTCAGCTCGCTACAGCATGCTGTCCACAGCAGGCGAGCTTTCCGGCCTCCGCTACCGCCATTGCCTTTCGCGGTGATAGCGGTCGTTCCTCGTCGATCCGCTGGCATCTCGTCCTTCACATACCACAGTGATCCGTTTATCTGCTCTCCAGAACCCATCCATTGAGGCCTAGAACATCTGTCCCAATCACCAGTCTGGATTGAAAAATAGACGTAAATGAGAACTGTTTCAACTAAGTGCATAATGAAGGCTCAACTTACATCCAACTAGGCAGGACACTCAACAGCTCCACATAGCTCTTACCGTCTCACTATCGTGCCTTTGCTGTAGTGGAATTCCGCATCCACCCGCAATGCACGGATGATGAGCATCCGCACCCTGAGGATTGTGATGTTTATGGGGTCCCGGCGGCGGGGGCAGTGCCGTGACTTAGACTCTTTTTGGTGGCAGCCACTGCTTTCTCAGGATTTGATTCCTCCGGTAGAACTTCCGGTAACAATTTTATTCTGCTCTCATATACGTTATGGAGGGGTAATGTGGTAATGCACGAACAGTCTATTGTAATGAAGTAAATTGTAAAGATTGGTGTCAAATCCATTTTTATTCTGTATTCTTTTTAAGATTACTCTCCACCCCCAATGTCACCATTTAATGCTATTGCTCATCCACTTCATCCCGGGGCTTGCCCTGTACTCAGCCTGTACAGTGGAAGTCAAATACGCAGTGCTTCCGTGTATTCCCATCAGAGAAATTTCACAGCATCCTACGAATGAAAACATCGGAAAGCAGCGATTCTGAGAGCATTCTGAAAGCCCTCCATGTTTCATAAAAGTAAAGGGGACCATCGCGTGTTCAGTTGGAAGGGTTTCCAGTGTCCTTATGAGCGTTTCACATTGGCATGAGGTCCTCATACTCAATAGTTCAACTTTTTTGATCCTTTTTCGAAGAAAGAAATTGATGAGGATTTCGCCAGAAGGAGGACATTCAGCAACTCTTTTCTTACCATTTCCTTTGAGATATGTGTTTGCTGTTAATAACAAACAACGCAGTTAATTCGAATGTTTCACAAGAATGCTGGGTTGTGAACAAAACTTTCGCCCCAGGCGGGACTAGAACCCGCACCTCTCGCTTTCCGGGCAAGTGCGCTACCAGTTACGCTACCGGGGCACCATTTCATTCCAACTCAGCTTTTCATGGTATACGTACCATAGCTTTCAGCACTCACACGTCTAACGTGTTCTAAACTTCTTGGAAAGGCTTTTTTGAAACTTTTCTCAAAGGGTCGGACAAATAACACTCCTCGCGGCATACTTCAAGGAAACGGCGTAATAAACAAGCCAGGATCTCTTAACTTAACGGAATCGTACAAGTGGAAGTTCTCACTAGGGGAAGTTCACTTCAAAATCTCAAAAGCTGCCTTCCTTTGTTAAAGGCGCTGAGCAGCGGTTTACTTCAAATTTTCGGGGTTCAGTGGCTGAAGTGTGTGGTGGCAAGTGGAGCCTCATACCATACGCAAAATCGAACCTATCACTCCCTTGAGGTCCGTTAATTAGTGCCACAACCATATGGGGCAGTCAAAAAACATTGCCTGTATATCGGCTAATACATCGGCTGGCCCCATCACTGAACCGTCCAAAACGCATTCAAACCTTCAACGACCACAATTCTGAGGAGATGTGGATGCGTGGCGCATCCCAGAGGGCGCACTCTGCTTCTTCTTTTTAGCCAGAATACACTCAACAACAGGTCATCATGCAGGAAATAAGGAAAATTACACGTTTCTAAATGGGGTGATCTTATCATAGAGGACAGAGATCAATCATTGAAGACAGAGGAGGAGCAAGCACTTATGGCTTGCTCCTCCTCCGCTCTCTTATGATAAAAATCACCCCCATTTAGAAAACGTAGTTTCTGCTGTAGCGCATGAGGCGAAGTCCTTTGAATCACGGAGACGCTCGGTCTCCTCTAACGGCAAACCCGTATGCTCGTCCGGAGGCCAACTCTGCCATTCAAAACTATTCTCCTCACTCCGCGCGCACATCCCATTCTTAAGCGCAGTCCAAGTATAACGATGCACGCTCGGTATTGGCGTCTGCCGGCTCTCTGCTCCGGCCCCCTTCTCTATCTTGACCCTTCACCCGATCTGAGCCCAGCCCCGCCCTCGCTCGCACAACGTGCATCACCGCCACATCGACGTTGCTCGGCAACTGATTAACTTGACTGTGAGACAGCGTCCCTGTGATTTCCTCGCCGCCCGCCCTCCCCCCATACTCAGTGATTCCTCTACTTCGGCGGTATCTCGCTGCCGCTATCAGCTTGCTATCTTTAGTTTTTTATAACAATTTCTAGATAATCCGTCTAATTCTGCTCCCGGGCAAACAAAGTTTAGGTCTGTAACGAACCTGCTACATAAGCATACCTCCCACACTCTCCCCACTGCGCCTATCTGCCCCGACTCACTCACACTTCTACGCCGCTAGTCGACGTGCTCCGTACCGTGGCCACCCACCCCAGCAAGAATACAGCGAACACAAGCCTAGCCAAACGACACCTCCATACTAAGTGAGTGTATGCGCATTGATCCGGATAGCGCTAATTTAGACGAAGTGTAAAAGTGTACCTGCCAAAGTGGTGGACAAGCGTGCTGGTTGCATTGACGGACGAGTTGTGGCGGACGAGTTCTCGCATCGCACTGAGACCACGGCACAGCGCGACCGGTGGCTGATTCTCGACACAGAAGAGCCGCTTTTTGCTTCCCTGGAACACTTCGGATAGTATCATGGCAGTATTCTTGGTATGGCGACCTTACCCCCTAGACAGCTGGCTGAACATGGTCCCCAGTCACCGTTCTCCCATTTGAATGGCACCTCTTCATGATTGGTTTTCGAGTCTTCTTGAAGCGGACATGGACGAGCCTCGCATGGTTCGAAAAGTGACGGCTGCGATTGTGCTGGAACAAAAAAAGCTCAAGGGATTCAGTCTGAGCAATTGGTCGTGCAGCAGTGCAGACACATGTTGAAAGATGAATGTCAAACGCATACATTGACACTCGGAATACGGTAGACGAATCATTCCCGCGATAGGATGCGCAGCCATGCATTCTGCGGAACGCGTTTGCACTCCAGGACCACACGTCGTTGAGCATTCACTCCATGAGCTTAGAACTAACCTGAAAAAGGTCTGGTTTCTGGAAGCAAGAAAGAGACCTCATAAACTGAAATAGGGACAAGTGACTTTCTACAGCCTCAGTTCACGTTGGGATTGAAGGACAAAGTTGTGTGGGTTAGTTGATCCTTCTATTGATATAAAGCGCTAACTTTGTGTGTCGGTTTGTATGTGTGTGTGTGTATGTATGTGTGTCCGTCCGCAAAATGAAGTGAGTGAGAAGGAAGCTCATGGGATAAACAAACCGCTAACAGAATCATGTAGCTCACAGGACTTAGCTATTCAGTGTTTTGCAATGTGATAGTGCCCCGACAGCTATATAAACACTTAAAACAGTCTCTTTCATTCATATTGGTGGTACACCGGCAGCTGGCAATTAGTAGGGGAAGATAGGGAGGGGAGAAGGAAACCCAATCGGCTATAGGGTTAAGATCCGTCTAAATGTCATTTTAATGTCATTCAATGATTGCGTTATGCTCGCTTCTATATATTAGGTTGGAAAGAAAGTTCTGCAACACTCTTTCTAAAATTTTCTTTTTTTCTGAAAAATTCATAGGTAACATTTATGACTAACAAATGGTAGAGCATTCTCGAGGCTTCAATCCACGAGGTGGATATAAGTGCTGCAGTCAGTAGTTATCCAAGAAAATTCAAAAAACCCGACCACTAGTAAATCCATACTCCGAGTCACTGTCTAGTACAAATGTCTCCATAACTATGGATTCGTGTCAAAGACCAACACTATCTGCAATAGCTTCAATAGGCATGTCGTTCACCGCTACAGCGTGTTTCACCTTTACCAGCGCTTTCGATCTTTTGATATTTTTATAAGAAGCCAGCAGCGTCCCGCACACTCCATTACAGGTAGGGCTCTTACGGAAGCTCCACTACAAATTCTTCGTTATGGGCACCATTGTGTAGGTAGAGGTCTAGGCTGCGGAACTCCAGAAGCTGGCCGAGGCAGCTCGTCAGGAGCCCTCGTACCGCGACAATATTTATTTCTTTCATGACATTGCGAATCACCATGATCCGAAATGAGCCCGGTAAGAAATTCTGGAGCTGCGGCAAGATTTCTTACCTCTCTTAGCGTATTCCCCTGGTCGAGCTATAAATGACTGCCACCTATCCTGGACCTTAAATCATCATCTTGATGACGAAATAATTAGACGATCAACTCCAACTCGAAAGTGAGGTCGCCTCCTTTCTCGACCCGCACTCCGCTGGGTTTTGGCAAAGGAGCATCAAGAAATTTTCTGAGCGTTGAAGACAAGTGGTGGACACTCATGGTAGATATAAGACCGGTCAGGAGTTGTAAACAAAAAAGATAAAATTAAAATCAAAAATTTGAAAAAGTGTTGCAGGACTTTCTTTCCAACCTAATAACATCTTTTTTTTATACATACGCGTCCCATCTGCAATGTGTTGGTTCACGAGTGGAACGTGTAAAGCTAGGATGGCGGTTGCCGGGACACCAACCGGGTTTCCTTTATAATGCGCCACGTGTTCGGTTTTCAGTAGAACTGTGGAGGAATTTGATTGCTTATCTAAACCATTTATAGATACTACGTGAGAGCCATTCTGCGATAGAAACGCTGTTTCTAAGTTTTTGCAGGTTTGGTGTGTGACTGTACGTGGCAAGTGCCACGTTCACCACCTGCCGAGCGGTCCGGGGATCAATCCTATGTCGTGGCGTCCGCCTGGGTCAAACCAACGTCTTTCAATCCTCTCGGAGCTTCGGTTAATTGGTACCAGACTTGTCTGGAAGGATAAAAAACACTGACTTGTACATCGGCTGGCCCCCGCAAGTCATTGTATAGGCCACATCGCATTCAAAAGCCACTGCGAATGTACAAATGGAAGTAGAATGCGTGCCGCATCCTAGAAATGGTGCCCCATCTCAAAAAGGGATTTCGTATATCGACGCAAATGTCTTTAATGACTTTATCTCCTTTAAACAGTTCGACTGACGATTGGCACTGGCTTCGGTCCCATAGACTGTGCCATTTGATACTGTGGACGTAACGTCAGCCCCAGCAGGTCTCAGCATACGCGATCCTAACTACTTATCTGTTCTGGTTGATGGTGTACGTGTTTGAAGAGTGGAATGTCGCTAGCGTCGTTTGGATCTAGTCAACATGACATACGTCAAAACTCCACTCTCAAATTCGCGAAGTAGGCCGACTATTATACCCTTATGTACGTTGGCAGGTAAACTTCGCGAATTCTTCCGAGTGTTCACGCAGTTCTTTGTTCCCTTTAAGCGAGCAACTTTTCCACCCAAATTCTGACAAATTCTCCTCTAAACCCCTACCTAACACTTGTGCGCGACGCTAATTTTCACGCAAACCACGCTCCTTCTAAAAGCACGAAATACCATACCCCTTACGCCCTGACTCAGACTAGATCTCCCGCTGGCTCGAACCTGAGACAGAACGATCGTCCCCATTTTATCACTTTGACCCTCTCAGCCAGTCAAGCGGATGTTGTTAACAGCTACGAAACCGAGGGGTCGATGACACATTTTCAATGGAAAGGGAAAACAAAGAAAGAAAGGTCATGATTCAAACCTCGGCGAATGACCATTGCTCTCAACCCGGATTGTACGCTGATTCGTCCAGGAATTTCCGATCACTCCAGTCAATTCTGAAAGAAAAAAATGACGTCATTGAAATGTTTATCAATGGTCTCACCATGTTGACAGAGGAATTTAAGGCGCTGTGGCTTCTAAAGGACATTAAGTGCGTAATAACTTCGTATAGCATACATTATACGAAGTACGATAATTGGCTTCATCGGCTCATACCCTAAGTGCCAGTTAAGCCACCATATTCTGCAGGCAATTTTTTGATGGACTGAACTTCAAGCATGTACCGCTGCACAGCCAATGAGTTACGCCATGCGCTTTGACCTTTGACCGGACGTCTAACACAATATTTTCCCCCACCGTAATTCAACGACTCTCTATGACTGAAAAACTGGATAGTGCTAAAGAACAACATGTGCAACTATGTGTGGACTAACGATAAGTCCTTTGACCTTCCCGTAACTCCTTTCAATAACGGTGGATTATCAGTTTGACTTGAGAATCTCTCCTTATTTTCTAGTTTCTCGTGGTTCAAGCATAAAAGCTGCCGGCCGAAGTCTGCTGTTCAAAACCTGTGTAACATATTTGCAAACGGAATAAGCCATGAACGCAGCAATCGAAGGGCTTATTGAAAGGGCATGCCGTTTTTCATTGACATGCGAAATCGAACGCGGACGCGCGAATCAGCATTACCATTCACGCTGACAAGCCTGATGCTAATTTATGAGCACAAATGACATGTCAGTGAGAAATGACTTCTTTATCGTTGGGTGGAGATTGATCCAGCGGCGATTCTTGTGCTAATAGCCCTGGCTTTCTGCGATTTCACGTCAAATTCACTCGACTGTCCACTTTTTTTGTCAAACTCAACATAATGCGCCACACGTCTGAGCCGGGCCGAAAGCACTGAGCTGTTTGAAGGCAGACTGCCCACAGTACAATAGAGTACAGGTTCAAAAGTGGGAAATGATGCGAGAATAGCTGGTTAATTAGGGACGAGAACGAGCCCCGAAAAGGGATCACTATGAACTGACGCCCTTGGTCACTGCGCTACCAAGGTAACGAACACAGTAAAAATCTTCTACAAAGAGTACGAGCAAAAGCAGTCAATAATATACGCTGTTATAAAGAGAGGTACCCTTCGTTTTCAGCAGCCAGGATGCGTCTGCAGTGCAGACTAAACATCACAAATGGCGACGGTTTCCACAAGAATCTGGCGAGTGAAGCCTTTAATCTTTCCGTTCACTTTCCTTGGTCAAAATTTTGGACCAAGTGATAATGGGAGGGCGGAAATTGATTTTTCCACCACAGGGCAGCAAATCAGATCCCGGTCTAATTTCATTTGAACCATTTAAGAAAAAAAACATTATAAACGAAATAATTAAAATGGTTCGTTTCGAAAGGTGGAAGGTCAAAGTTTCAAGTTGTATGACGAACTATTTGACCCCAGTACTTCCATTCTACGGCCGAGCGCTTTAAAACCACCAATAAATCCTTCGAAATGAATTTTTTTCCTAATAGGAGTTCCAGATTTTACAAAACTGTTCAGAACTGTTTCGATGAACGGACCTTTAGTAAACCCCATCACCTATTCCATCTGCTCTCTCGTGAACAAAAACCCATCCCCTCACCAGCTGCTCTCCAAGTAGATCGCGTGAGGACGCCGAAATTCCATCGGACGTAAGCCGACTGCCACTACTTCTTTCGCCCAACAAAAGGATTTCGTTGAAGGGAAAACTGGCGCTATTCGGCATGTAATCGAGCTTCGCCTTCGCAACGAGACCTCGAAACGATGACTAGCGAGCATGAAAAATGAGTAGACTCAGGACGTATTACTAGGCGGCAAATGAAAATGAGTTATTTTATGTTCATGACAATGTGTCGAAAATCGTCATGTGGACACATTAGCGCTGTCGTAAAAACCGAACAGCAGCATTATATCACAATTCGAACCTACTCAGGTACATCGATGAGTTATGATCGAGTCACGGATCTGATGAGGTGCTAAGGGTCAGGCCATTTAGCGGCCACACACCGCTGCTTGCACCACGGTGAGAAACTCGGCAAGGAATAACGGTTATGAGTCAGAGGAGGGCTAGAATTCGATTCCGATTAGCTCCGCAAACTCAAGTCAGCATTCTGATGTCCAGAGTAGAACAAAACTAGTATAACCCTGTCGCTCACTGCCCGAACATGTCCCTTTTGAAAAAAAACAAAAAAAAACCCGGCTGTGCCGTCGCTGAGGGTCGTAAAGACACTGCTTGACTCTCCCTACGCGCATCCTGCAAATATTGCTGCCAGCCGTATGACTCAACTCCACTTCTGAATAGCTGTATCGGAACTGCCTGACTGCGAGATTACATTACGCACGTGAAAGTACCTTTCGGACGGCTTGTCAGTGCTCGCTATCAAAAGGAAACACGTCACCCACAGATCGATCGTGTTTGGAACATGCCCTTGAGAGCAAAAATGCCTCGTAATGATCAACAAGGTTCTTGCGCAGCCAATGGTGTGCTTTAATCAAAGCAGACTCATTAGTTATTTCAAGGCTAGCCAGCGTCGCGGAATCCTCAATAGGAGGGTCTTTTTTGGTTTCTGGAGGAAAAAGTGTCAAGTTAGATGATATGGCATGCGCACTGCCAAGGGGTGGGGGTATGATAGAGGAGATTGATACAGTTGTATCTTTGTGTGCCACACAGGTTTTGTACGGTGGAATCTTTATTGAGACTGACGTTTCGACTAACCCGTCGTTGTCAAAGTCCTCAACTCCGCCAGCACCACCGCTCTTCGTTCAACAGCCTCCTCGATGCCTCCCAGAGATAGTAGATACAAGTTCATAGAAAGGCGACTTGGAGGATATTAAGAGGAGAGTAAGATCAATTAAACTAGAGGATCCAATGTATTGTCTGATTATTGTAAACTTTGAGAAACAGGCTTCACGAATTTCAGATGGCTTATTATACCCTTCGTCAACTCGAGGAAATCCTCAGTGAAAGTAGCTGATCCTTTTAAGAACATGGAAGAGCTTGAGAGGGACCTAACAGGAGGTAGGAGGGGTCTTAGCAATCTCGTTCTACTTGCTACCTTGCTGTTTTCTATGCATAATCTCGTATGTCCTTTAGACTGCCGAAATATAACTATCTGCCAACGAAATATTGGCTTTAAAAAATCAAAGAACAAAAAAATTTATTAAATATCGCGGAAAACGAGGTGAGTAATTCCCAATCAAAAGCTTGATACCATTAAAATTCGGCCATACTTGTTGGTGATCTGAAGCAAACACGGTCCCCTTTATGATCACCAAGTGAGACATACCTAAGCAATGCGCTCAGCAAAGTCCCATCCAGGAATCGCTTTCGCAATTTCGAACAAGGTACGAATGATGGTTACAAAACTATTGCGATCAATAAGCACTCCTTACATCGAACACTTTTTAAGTTGTTCAGCGATCACAACCGATGAGATAACGACTCGCAAGCCAATAAATCATCATCGTAATCTTCTCATAGGCTGATCAGATAAAAACACCTCGTTGACATCTCGTTGAGGTTTTACAGACCACACATTTGATTCGACGCCGTCTTGCGAATTTCTAGCGGAATTATGTCTCGCGAGAGTGCTCGAGTCTCTTATAAGACTACATAATAAATGTTTTTCGATTTTGATTTATTCCAGGGAGCAACTGCCGGTTGAGCTATCCGTGCAATTCAAGGGTCATTCGGGAATAAATCTGCAACATCCCACAAAAAGTGAAACTGCACTTTATGGCGTGTAATTGCCGTTTACGTATGTACTTAGATAACAAATAGAAGCCCGCATGTGAAAATCGCATATAATTATGGGGCGGGAGTTGTGCCACGCGCTCAGTGTCCCCATATGGACGAAATGCTCCTGCGCTTCTGAAAGAGCCCTGAAGCAGACATGTGAATGACATGTTAGCACAGTATGGATGTGCAAGCGAATATCAATAATTCATTACGGCCCCTCTCGAACCGCCAATCACCCCCGACGCGGGTAAATTGATGGGTGATCATGGTTTTGTCCAGATGGAGGTGAGATTTCCGAAGCATCGTGAGCTCATCAATCGGCACCATTTTGGCCTATGACCCACAAGACGCTAAGTATTGCATTGTGAATGGAAATGTGGTTCAGCAGAATCAGCTCACAACCACGTGAGGCAGAGTCAATTTTTTTAGATGTGAGTTGCTATGGTGAGCTCTGTTAGAGTTTTAGGGTGCTCTCAGCCCAGGGCAACCTACCTATACAGAGACTGAAGCCTATTTATAGGTTATGCGAGTTCTGAGAATGTTAAAAGAGACAAAGACACTGAACGCCGGCTCCAAGAAGGGCAGCGCAAGAATCACGAGCGTGGATCGCATGCACAGTTGCCAAAAAGACAATAAATAATACGGAGGCTTCCAGTAGCGCAGCACGTATACTTGCGCTGAGCCACGAGTACAAGTTGGTTGAGACGCGGGGGGCGAAGCCACGCCACACGGCGAACCATTCGCGCCCAGCGTATAGGGGTTTTTCGGGGGATTAGAGAATAAGAGAGAGAAACTCTTTGCGAATGTTTCCCTACTATACATTCGAGTAATCCTAGCCACTGAGCGCGCGCGTGATGTCGGTGGTCAGTTTTGGAGGAGCAAAGAGATTATCAGGCAAAGACTTCCGAGAGGTCAGGAATTAGCCTGCTGCTTGGCCAAGCCCTTTGGCTGTACTTTTGTTTCTTTCGGATTTTTTTCGTGGTCGTAATCTATTCAGAAGAGAGGATCTCTTTGTTGAAATTCATTTCTGCTTGACTGACAATGAGTTGTCATTTATCATCGATGTTGCGCGCAGAAGCATACATGCAACTGAAAGATTTCCCTCGAGGTCATATCTGATACGAATAGTTGGAGGAGTTTGGAACTGAAGTTCAACCAGGGCCAAGGGGTAAAACTAATTGGTTGAAGCGCTTTTTGGTTCTCGTGTGCGAAGTGCGGAAGTTCCTCTAGCAAAAGCTGAAAAGTCCTCACTTGTTGTCTAGCTGAGTCCATGCTTGAGGGTTTTGTGAGATTGGGTTGAGACACGGAACTCCCGAGTAGCAAGCCGCTTCAGCGATTGGTTTCGAGGTGAACGGACAGTCCCTTCCACCCATGCACTCCACCTGAAAGCAGCAATTTCAGCTTTATCCAAGGAATGAGGCTAGAGCTAATCTTCGAAATACTAACCGTCCTTCGTCTGATTCCTTGCCCACACGTGGACGAACACTTGGTCCATGTCCCAGTCACCCAATGTCCACAAGATTCATTGGCACAATTCTCTTCGGATACCTAGAATTATGATTTGGTGAAAATCACACGGTCTATGAGGAAGAGATATGACAGATCGACAGAAGAGGGTATAATTTGGAGTTAAGAGCAACTGCGTCGCACTTGAAGAATAGACATGGATCTGATGTGGCTTGAAAAGCGAAAATCGAAAATCTCGGCTATTGTTTTACGAGTTGCAGCCTTTAGAGCATAAGGTGCCAAAAATATCTACTATGTATTTTCTAGAACGAATAGTAAGACACGCCGATGAGATTAAATGCAACGATTCAGAGCAGGATCGCATTCCGATCAATAAAGCTGAATTGGAAGCAAGTCAGCTATGGAGAAGTGTCGAAAGTCGGAAATCGGAAACGTGACGTCAAACTAGCGAGAAACAGCGCTAATCAAAGAAAGGTGACACGTACGTGAAATGACAGTGCACCCTTATCTTGACTGGGAACTTTTCAACTGTTACGAGAGGTTAATATCCAATTTTTTCAGATTTGGGAGAAGTACACAAATTTGAAGGTAACATTCCAGCTATCACACAAACAATTTTATTGATTTATTTATTTTCGTTAAGAATTGCAAAAGCTGAGCCTTCGAAAAGACGCTTTGAAAAGCACCGTTCTAGTGTGGTGAGACATTGCTACAGTTACGCAGTTTCATTTCACATCAGACCATTGAAAAGCGCAAGTGATATCATTTTTTGTAGCACCTGCACCTAGCACGTACCCCACAGGATGAGCCGCGATTGAGGTCATCTGGATGGGGGTCGTGTTTGCCGTGAGGGATGGGGTCGTGTTGTTGCATCGAGGACTTGAAGAGGGGTTTTTTGTGAGGATGGAGACTAAAGTACAGAAAATTTGCAGCTGTTCAGCAAATATGCATAACCCCGCGCTTCGACGCACCCTCGCAGTCTTGGGGGGCGGTTTCAGCGTGCCAGGTATCAGGTGGTCCCACCTTCAGCGACATCATTGACAACATCAACCATGATGGATGATAGAAAGGAAAAATAGAGGGAGCAGGGGGCCGTATCCATCAACCTTCGTCGACAGGAGGTTACCCCTCGTGTCACATGAGGACGTGAGATCCCGCTCCACCGCTTCTCCCGGCTTAGGAAAAACAGATATAATTTTTGTTGAAGATAATCGTTGATCAATAGAAAAGATGCCTTACCGGTTTTGTTTGATTCTCGCAGAACTTCTCTGGTACGTTCAGTGCCTGATCGACCGTTTGATGAACGCAGTACACACTTCGAGTTCGTCGCCCGCGTCCACAAATCGGAACACATTCAGACCAATCGGACGCCAGCCAACCGGAATAAAAACCAATCAGATCACAGAACGTAGGGTTCCGGAATAGCACACGAAATAAAGAAAGTTAACAGCAATCAGCGATAGTTCATGCATTTCATGGAGATTCATGGCGCATTCGAAAGAAACGAGATCAGTCAGACCGCGGCGGCGATGCTTCTTCATGCCTCCGACGGCGTCGCACGGCGCACGCGACGACGACGAACGGCCGAAGATGGAACTCAGATGGCACGGTGTTACTCGACAGAACTTAGAGGGGTACGTGAAAACGATTTGAATAGCATCCACTCGATCATGTGCGGCGCACTCCATGCATTTTACTCCACGCATATCTAGTAATGCGGTAAACCAACAAACATAACCGAGACATCTGCCAATCGATAATCTGTATGGTCATATGTAGGTACAGTATTGCCGAAATACACGATTATCCGCATACTTGGAGAAATCATACGTCAAAACATTCACTTGTATTTCCGACAGCGACCTAAGCGGCGCGGCTACGGACATTTTCAAGTGAATCTGCGGCACTGCATCGAGTCCTTGTGGAGATGAACTATCACTAACGGCCTTTAGCCTATTCGACCGATGTGAGCCTCGTGCGTGTCGAGTGTGAGTGCGAGTGGCTTTCTCTTAGATACCAGTCATTTGTTTATGATCCGTACAAAGGGAGTCTTTCATGAGCGTGACAAGGCTTTTTTGAAAACGGTCTTTTGCATGATATAGGGGCAGATGCGGGGACCACAGAACCATGTTCAATTTTTCCTGAAATACCAGAAAAGGGGGTCCCTAGTTCGATTCCTCGTGGTGACAAATTTTTGCATTTCGAGTTGACGTTTCAAAATTCGCGCAAAATGGAGTTAGCATGAATAATTAGTACCATATTCATGATTAGGTAACCCTTACAAATAGACTTTGATTAAAAAACTGGTGAAAAAGGTGTGACACCACAGTGGGGCCACTTTGGTGTCACACCTTTTTCACCAGTTTTTAATCAAAGTCTATTTGTAAGGGTTACTGACGGTCCTAATCATGAATATGGTACTAATTATTCATGCTAACTCCATTTTGCGCGAATTTTGGAAACGTCAACTCGAAATGCAAAAATTTGTCACCACGAGGAATCGAACTAGGGACCCCTTTTCTGGTATTCAGAGGGCCGTTCAGGAAAAATGAACCATGGTTCTGTGGTTCCCGCATGTGCCCCAATATCATGCAAAAACCATTTTGAAAAAGCTTGGCACCCTGAAAAATTTCTCTTGAGAAAACGGTACAGGCGTTAAAAGTCTGACTGAGCAGCTTCAGTGCTAGATGGTTTCTCAGAAAGTCTAGCAGAATATTAAGTAAGATTTTTTACTATGCCCACTGCTGTTTTTGAGGTGTAAATATCCGGACTCAGCTTGAAGGCAGTGTCTCACGATGCCCGGAAGCAATTCGATGATGTCGTTGAACGTGTTAGTGGATGGACATTAACAGGCGGTCTCAACCACCCCCCCCCCAAGCGCGCTTAGGGGTCTACTCCACTACTGTCACCAAAATCGCACCATTCTTCACCCATGGTGATCACTGCCTTCAAGATCCGGCCGACACTTTTGTTCAGAAGTCGGCACCCAGGTGAAAAAATACTCAATCAAATCGAATGAAGCATTCATTTGAACACTACTACAAGCACTATGCTGAGCAAACTTTACCCTTACCATCAGCGCCGTTAAATCTAGGCGTGATTCGAGGAGTACTGTCTATTTGATTCGAAGTTGTGAATCCATATGCGAGCGAGAGTGGTTGAGCTCACAACCTCATAGTCAGTGCCACCCGTACGACTCAAAATAGTGGCAGGGTAGGTTTTCGTGACCTACACGTACGCCTCTGTACACGCCTGCTCGCGACCGCCTGGAGTTTACGTCTAGCTCGTCTCTCATATGGTTGAACTTCAAGTCTACTGTCCCAACGAAGCATCCAGTATCTTCCGGACTGACTAACGTTACCACTCCAATCCCTGAGTAGAAGGCTCCACGTGTTTTCGCTGCTT